ATTTCATCTTAAAAAGAAACTCAACAATCCAAAACTCAACAGTTGAGGATGACGATGGACCATGTATTGAAGAATCGATGGTTGAAGGTGAAGGGGAAAAAGAGCCGATGGTTGAAGGTTAAAGGGAAAAGAGACCTCTGTAAATTTGGGGGAAAAGAAAATAAGGGTTTTGGACTAATATTTGATGTAAGGGGGGGAAATACGGGTGGGAAAACCAAAATGCAGTCCAAAATTTTCTAAAACCAGCGCCATACACATTGGTCAAAACTATTACCAATTTTAAGTTTTTTTGATTTTGTGACGGATTTAGATGTATGTCACAAATTTGTGATGCATTCGGCCGTCACAAAAATATAATTTCTATTAGCTATATATTTTTAATAATATTGTGACAATTTTGTGACGGAAGTTCGTCAGATTATTTTATCGCCATAATTTCGTGACAATTTAGTTTTGCCATCTCTAAGTTCCGTCACAACTTTGTTACAAATCCGTCACAAATAGAATTTTTGTAAAATATTATATCTTTTCAGCAAATTTTAGGCTATGTAAGGATGATCCATCACAAATCCGATAAAATTCCGTCACAATTTTGTGAACAACTTGTCTGTCACAAAATTTCCGTCACAATTTTGACTATTTTTTGTAGTAACGAGAATTTTCAGCCATTTTTCATTTTTCAAAACCTTAAAACATAAGAGGCGATTTATCAAACACTCTTTCTTCCCCAAAACACAAGTAAGTGATTTTAAACTCATTTCTTTCAATCCTTAACTTCTTTTTACAAGATTTCATCCTAGAATCTAGGGTTTTTATGGTGGAATTGAGAATTTTGGGTAGAACTTAGGAACATAAAAATTTAGGGATTTAGACCTCAAATTGAGGTCGGATTCCAAAAGCAATTGTATATTCGGGCTCGGGGGTGAATGGGTAATCAGATTTTGGTCCGAATTTCGGGTTTGGACCAAGCAGGCCCGGGGTCAATTTTTGACTTTTTGGGAGAAATCAATGGGAAATCTATTTTCATGAATTATAATTGGTTTATTTAGCATATAGTAATGTTATTAAGTAAATTGTGACAAGATACAAGCGAAGTGGAAGTGGAACCGAGGGGTAAAGCGGTAGTTGGGGCTTAATTTGTCTGTGAAATCGAGGTAAGTGTTTAGTCTAACCTTAGCTTGGAGGAATAAGAGTTGTGGTCTTATTTGCTATGTGTTAAGTGTTGAGTACGACATATAGGTGTGGTGACGAGTATCTATATGTTGGTGTCAAGCATGCCCGTGAGTCTTATACTATGATTGTTGTGACTCCGTTATGTATTGTCTGTGCTTAATATGATGATTTCAAATGTTGAACAAGGCTTATGAAAGTATTCTTGGTAATAGACCATTGTGGAGCATTGACTTAAGTTGAGACTTAGGTTGTGACATTCAGGTTGGAGCATTGGCTCAAGTTGGCGTCTCCTTCTATCCTTTCCATTCTGTTTTTATTTATTTCAGAGACAGACTTTTATTTTTCTATTCAGACCACTGATTGTAATATTCATAGATGGTCCGTGACATTCTGACACCAGTTCTGGGTAGGGTTGTATTTTGGATTTTCGTACTAGTATTTGGTTAAATTATCAGATTTCGTCTTCTGCACTTCTTTTATTATTATTATTATTCCGCTGTTGATCACATGTTAATTTGAAATTGTTAAAAGGTTAAGGAAAAAAGGTAATAAAATCTATAACACTCGGCTTGCCTAGCTTTCACGAGTAGGTGTCATCACAACTCCCGATGGTCGAAAATCCGGATCGGGACAAAATGAATTTTTAAAAGATAAATATAAGGTTTGAACAAAAGCTACTGGGTCAGCTGAACTCTATGTGGCTCCGCCCCTGACTGTAAATAACATTGTTCTAAAAGAATAACAAGTATATATTTAATAAGTTGACACTACTTGCAGGTAAAGCTAGGATTTAAAGCTTATAGTTTTGAGATTGTAATATTTTTAAGTTATTGAGTTCTTAATCAATAATTTATACACATTCAATAAACTTTTTTAAGATAAATCCAAAATTTGAATCAAAGTCCCTTGGTTCGCCGAACCTAGGGACTAACACGCTCTGCCTTGTTAATACTCCCTCCGTTTCAATTTATGTGAACTCATTTGACTGAGCACAGAGTTTAAGAAAAAAGAGAAGACTTTTGATCTTGTGGTGTAAAATGATGCACATATATTTTGTGTGGCTATAAATCATTGTGTAAAGGTAAATTATTTTCAAATAAGGAAAGTGGTTATTCTTTTTGACACAGACTAAAAAGGAAATAGGTTCACATAAATTGAAACGGATGGAATATATGTTTAGTTGTTAGAGAAAGTAAAGCTTTAAAACTACGTTATAATTTATACGTAAACTCACTTACAAATTAATAAATTGTAATTATTGAGCGCAAAATTTTTAGTACGCCACAGTGCGCTAAAACACTCCACAGTCGAGACCAGAAAGTTGTAAGATTTGACAATAAGCCACGTCCCAATAAAAACAAAACAAGGCCTGGATTGCGGGGGCTTAAGTCAAGTCGATTATCGATTGCTTCTTATTTTTATGTTGGATTTTAATTGCCAGCTGAAATAACATCATTCTTTGACTTGTTTGTATCTCTTTTGCAAATATATATGTGGATGCTGAGGCTCAGCCAGCTAATGTTATTTCCTGTCAATCTGGGATAGGCTTATGAGCTTATCTTTTAACACTAGATGAGTTTTGGCCCGTGTTGTAAAGTTGGAATAGTCAATTATGATTTCTTTATTTTGACATGAAATTATAGGAATAGTCAATTATGATTTCTTTATTTTGACATGAAATTATAGGAAAAAGAGATTGAAGCACCCTGAGTAAATGACAAACCAAATATATAGAGCACTACTATTTACTTCATAGTATTAACATGCATTTAGGAGCAAAGTTCTCCAAGCTGTAAAAAAGCTGACAAAATATCTATTTGTCGATATTGAGCGGTTGCAAAACGACACATTCTTTACGTCCATGAGAAATTCATATTGCTTACGTTGTGCGGTTGCAAAATGCCACATTCTTTACTTCAACGAGATTAACTTATTTACACATACACTATTTATCTATTAACAAAATATAATGCAGCCATCGTGCAATGGTTAGCCTCATTTTTGCAATATTTGACAAAGTATTAGTACCTGTAGAGATTATTTGTTAGCCTTAGCTCACCTCATTTCCATTGTAAAAATAGAAAAGGGTATAAACAAAAGGAGTAGAGAAAAAGAATAGAAACATGAGAATTGAATTAGTTGGTAGTCAAGCATTACAGTTTCGAACAGGAAGTCATATTGCTTTTTTATATAGTTTGATTGAATTTTTACCTTTAAACACATGTGATACTCTCAGTGGGATAGCTGAACAACTAATAAAATGTAGATGTTTTATTCAATACTCTTTATGCAAAGTTCTACCTCATTTAGAGCAAAAACAGAATGAGAAAACTAACCAACTTTCCATGCCACAGAAGTTCTATATCAAGTCTTCTCCTAATTTAATCAATGTGAAATCAGTATCTAAGAAAAAGAAGCTTTCACGTGTGGCAGAATATTTATCATGCTATGTGCACTATAATGCAACATAAAATGGGCATAGAGTTATCAACTTATACACAAAATAAAGGTGAAATGATACGAACTACAGTGTTCCAGAGCACATACCATGTTCTTTCAATACTTTATCCAAATACTAATTTGCACAATTTTACCTTCTTAGCAAAGTGATTAGTTTTCTAACCAGCCTTTCTAGAGAATATTGAGAAGAAAAACTAAAATCTTTTAACAAAAATCACTTCGTCAACATTGAGAGAGATACATGATCATGTCAATATGGTTAAAAATAGTTTAGTTGCTCACTTTTTAGAACAAAGTATCAATTTTTTTCTGTCGTTCAAGCGATTAAATATTCGCCACGTGCCAAAATATAGGAGCAGATAGACTATCTTTAACTTGCACCTTCATTCTCTTCAGGCTACAGTTAAATTCAAGAAATTTTGACACTGATAGCGGCAGTAATTGATCAAGATCAAAACAACTCATTTTTTTTCTCCAAAAATTAGTAATAGATCAAGTAAATGAGTTGTGTAGTTGAAACTGCAGGTTCGCAGGGTTGAGCTAGTTGGCGGAGATTACTTAGTCTATTTCTGAATGTGGATAAACTTTAGTATTAGTCAGTTATTGGGCATGATATTCTATAATGCACATTTAGAGTGTAGTTGAAGAAATGCAAGCTGCTCTTGTAAGCAAAGATATAAATTGTATTCTATATTCTTGAATAAGTTATATGCAACCATGTTTCACACTGACTCGATGCTAAGCACAATGTGTCAGTTATCGATTTGTTCTGACTATTTTAGTTTCTAAGGTTTAGCATTGTGTGATAAGAGATAATCTACTAAAAACAATAAAATATAGTAATATGAAACTGACATATAAATCTTTTATCCCCGAGCATCTGTTTCATATCAAGAAGATTCCTTTTAGTACTTCGCTAAATTTTAATTTAATTGAATGAAGCTACATCTTTGAGGTTCAGAATTTTATATATATACATGAAACCTAAAGTCCTACTCCATAGGATGTCATTCCTTGACTATTATACAACACCTAGATAATGCATCATTTTGTGTTAAGCATTCTTTTATATAACCTGTAAAGAGACGCTTCCGAGAATAATTTAGTTATATTTACGATAAGCTGTAGGTACTTCGAAGGAAAATTAACAAGAAAGCCTTGAAGTTGTGGACAATAATTTTGTGCATATGAGGGCATGTCTTTGATTTCTAGTGAACTTTGGTGCACTTATGAGGACTTGATTAGTATAGATGTTTGAGTGTTATTTGTAGAGAACCAATTTATTTAAGGCTATATATATTTTTTATGCCACTTCCATACCGATAATTTTCCATATCTATCAAACAAAAATGATTAGTCAACGCATATTAAGGAATTACTAAAATTGTATTGAGTTTTAGGCACAAAATTGCCGAGGATCTCATAAAAATTTATTATTTTATTTCAGAAGAGGCGAGCAAGCTACGCCCTATAGTGTAGTATAACTCATTATAAGAAGCTTTCTAGTTGCATCAATATACAAATTAGACTAATCTATCAAGCTTCATCCATTTCCAACTTATATATGGAGCTTTGAACGCACAATTGTTAGTGCTACTAATGAAAAGAAAATTCCAGTATTGAAATAGAGAGATGGGGCATAGTTCAAATGGAAGACCTGATATTAACGCGATTTTGTCATACTTTTTCACCAGAAACATCAGCACTCAAGACAACCTTAACCTGGCGTTCAACACAAAAGATAACATGTTAGAATTAAACCTAGGAACTCTTGTTATCTCAGCAGAGTAACAAGTAACCAAAAAAAGTGAGCAAGCAACTAAAGATAGATCACCTCATGAAAATCACTCCGATATTGCAACCTGGAATAGGCCTCAATAAGTCCCTCAATGAACTTTGTCACAATATCTACAAATCATTGCACTTCAGTATGTACAATAAATAAATATTTAGTCTTTCAATAGATAATATAAGACCTGTCGTACCTATTATATAAGCATAATAGAACCATACATCATACGCACAAATGTATATATATAGATACTGAAACAGAATCGTTTTCTCTCCTCAATACGAAAAAACTAAGAAAAAACGAAAGCCAATAGAAGAGCAATACTTATTGGGTTCCGAATTGCTGAACAGACAAACGAACGTACAACTACCACCACAAAGAACAAAAAGCTAAATTAAATAACACGAAACAAACAAAGTAACAAAAGCATCAGTAATAGACATTCGCAGACAAAAATCTGGAGAAAGGTGAAATTTAACAGCTACAGATAAAGCAATAAAGGACATGCAGCTGAGAAATCAAGAAGAGCCTAAGCCAATAATGTAATACTATTGAAGTAAATAAAATCCTTATCTTCTGAATATGCCCCTTATAAGAAAGTGAATATCGGGAAGGCCGATACTGAAACAAAAATGAATTGTCGCTATAACTTTTTATAACCATAGGCTTTTCTTATATTAAATTGCAGTTCTCCATGAAAGCTAATTGAAGATAAGATTGCACTCACTTGAACACATGGAGCATCCAACAGATTGAGGAGTTCGTCTCCCTCATGACTTACTTTCAAATCCCAAAAAATAATACGATCAGAACTTCTATAAAAACAAAAAAATAAAAATTATAAGTCATATATGATAAGGAGGGAGAATCAAACAGATTGAGGAAAAAATGAGCAGATTTAGCCGAAAATTAGTTTTCCAAACCCATAATGAGAAGTCCGCCATTGTTTCCTACAAAGATTCAAACTATGAGGTTTTTTAAAAAACCTACAGAAGTGCATACAGATTTAAAAACAAATAGGAAGATCTGGGAAAAAATTGAAAGAGCAGCTAACCTGAAAATTTAACACCACAGTTGAGAAGAGGAACAGAACTGAAAGGTGGGTAAGAAAAGAAGATGAAAAGAGGCGGTGGCTGAAAAGCTCAATAACGGAGTTATAAACAGGTAAGCACTTCTATGACTAAGCGAAATGACTCTTCTACCCTTGGTCGACCATCTTCTCATTTCTATATAATAGAAATTTTTAATATGTGCAATAGGATACTAGATATTTTTATGGTGCAAATAATTGCTATACATTTGAATATCTTCTCAATGCTTCCTTCTGTACAAAATATGGTTGCATTTGGTAGTTAGTGAAAAATATTTTCAAAAAAAGATATTTATTAAATATTAATATAATATTGGCATATTGAAGAGTTTTTTGGTGAAATTCTTGAGTAATAAATATTAATAATAATGTCAGTGTTAATTGTAGCAAGTAATATAAAATTCGAAGTTAAGATAGTTGTACAAAAAATGTTTTTGCCCATAAGTGAGGAGAGTCTTTCCTCTTTTGATGAAAAATGTTTTCCTGTAACCATGACTTCCTCATAAAAGTTATTCTCGTTGGAAAATAACTTTTATTATAAAAAATACACTCTAACATCGTTTACGGTTGTGGCACATCCATTTAGAAAATTATTTAATGGAATTAATTATAAGGGTTATTAGATTAAATTTGTAAATCACCTTTTAACATCTCCTCTAGTTACTATTTATCTCTTTTCAGTATTTTACATTATTTTATTGGATTAAGAGTAGAATTAAAAAATAATAATTAATGCTTTCTTAATTTCCTAACGCAACACAATTTGGGCCAAATTGATTTGACTTACGTACAATTATTTTGGACCGGAAAAGACTAAAAAGAGTACTGAATATTATATTGGACTGGAAAAGACTAAAGAGTACTGTTTATAGAAAGCTTCAAATATATGCGAGAAATTAAAAAATAGTCAAATTTACAAGTGATCATTCAAAAATAGTCACAATTTCAAAAGTAATCGAAATTTAGCCACTTTTTATATAAAGATAAATCTGAATAAAAATACTGTTCAAAATTCAGAAAATACTCCAGCATAATATACTGGAACTCCAGTATATTATTCCAGTATAATATACTGGAACTCCAGTATATTATTCCAGTATAATATACTGGACTTCCAGCATAATATACTGGAACTCCAGTATAATATACCGGTCTAGCATAATATGTTGGAAGTTCATACACAGGTGCTCCAATCTCTAGTATATTATGCTGGAACTTTCCGTGTGTTGGAGTTCCAGCATAATATACTGGAAGTTCAGACACAGGTGCACCGATCTCCAATATATTATGCTGGAACTTTCCGTGTTGCAGCAAAATAATGGTTACTTTTCAATAACTTTGCAAACGCTGGCTATTTTTCAATGACCAGTCCGAAAACTGGCTAGCCCGTGCTATTTTTACCAAATATATTTGGTGGACGTGAAATATTGGGCATATGTTTAATAATAAAATTATAGTTAATAATAAGATTATTTTTCTATCCGGTCTCTAGCTATTAATCTAGGAGGAGTTACGTTGTTCAGATGCCTCTTAACTGAATCTCCTTTAATTAGTTTAGTTTGACTGAAAATTATACTGCATAAATACAATAAAATAAAATTGTGTGTGTGTTTGTTTGTTTGTTTGTATATGTACTTATATTTAAATACTATACATAAAAAAAGGTCAGTATACTGGTAAAGGATGCTCAAATATTACTTTAGGTTCGAATGTTTGAATTTTAAATGTGGCATTCTTATATTTTTCTGTTTGAGTACCCTTATAATTAGCATATATATGAGTACAGTGTAAATTTATCTCTAGTGTTAAAACATATGCTGGCACAACTTCTTCATATCATGTCTTGCTTTTCAGAAGTAAATTTCTGTATACAAAGAAAGTGATGAAGTTTGCCAATTGCTGTAAGTCGGGTTGGTTCGAGTTTTTCAATTACCAAATCAAATCAATTGTATCGGGTTATTAAATTTAAAGATCAAACCATACCAATAAAAGTCGGGTTTTTTAATTTCGGTTTTTCTCGAATTTTTTGAATTTTCATTTTTTTTTTTCATAAAGCCTTCGTAACATAAAATATAAAATTTGTGCTCTGATTTTTTTAATCCAAAAAAAAAATAGAGCTATATAAAATATTTTTCAAGAAAATAACATAAAATATGAAATGAGTCATGTTATTGTACTAAAATATTCAATAATAGAGATAGTAAAATAGCATATAAAATATTATTAATAAGCCATAATAAAAATGAACATAATCTAAAATTACTAAGTTGCTAAAATAAGTACGACTAATAGGTACTATTATTTACATGACTAAATACTAAAAAAAACGTTATGCATTTTATCTAAACCATGGAAAAACTAAAAGATAGATATTCAATACTATTGTCATTTCTAGTACAATTGAATTGAATGTCTTTTATTAGCATTAATATTGATTTGATTTCAGTTTCGACTGTCACACCGCGAACCCGGGGGCGAGACCGGCACCCGGTACCTCATATATCCTTGCGTACCAATTTACAACTAAGGGACTCTGAACATATAATGTCATACTTGGCCATGAGACACATTGCAAGACAAGTTGCGAAGCAAAATATAAAACTGAATGGAAACTAACGCTAGCTAAACATCAATATAAAGCTGGGCCGGCAAGGCCATCATAATTACTACAACTGACAAACCAACAAAATATACATACAAGTCTTACAAGCCCAATATACTGCACTAACTGATAGGATATGTCAACAAGCCTCACTGATGGATGTACCGTTATCGGAACAAGGCCTCGACCTACCCATAACATATATATATCTATACACAAGATGTACACAAAACTTCTAGACCCGGTAACTCCGAAGGACGTGGAGCTTACTGATAAAGCTGAACTCGGGCAACACCTACTGAGGAGGTCTACCCGTCTGTCTGTCTGAACCTGCACGCATGAAATGCAACGTTCCCAGAAAAAGGGACGTCAGTACGAAATAATGTACCGAGTATGCAAGACAATAAAATAACTGAAAGCTGAAACTGAACTAATAATATAATAACTGAAGCAATTGGGAGTCAAAGATAATATGAAGATATGCTTACCTGCTGATACTGACTCAACTCTCTCAATATAGTAAGTAAAATAGTTGTCCGACCCTATAAGGCTCGGTATATATATATATATATATATAACTGCTCTGCCATAGTAGGCTCGCTCATAGGCGCTCGACCATATTAGGTTGTGTATCTCGGCCGACTGGGCTCGCTTATAGGCGCTCGGCCACGGTAGGCTCGGTATATAACTTACCATCTGATCAGAGGTTGCCCAATAGGGGCCTGCCCATCAATTATAACTTGATGGTAGTGAAAATACTGTGATACTGTATATATATATATATATATATATATATAAAAGAGAGAGAGAGAGAACCTCTTCTTTTTTGACTGGAAGGAGACAATACTCAATTGAATATAAAGTTCCGACGGGAGAATACTGTAACTTATGAGACTAGGATAATGTACATAAATTCGGAAATATGAATTTCTTTTTATGCCTCGTTATCAAGCACATGTAATTACGAGATCATGCCAAAATGGAGGAAGAACTTAACCTTAACATATCTGAAATAGGAAAAAATCCGTATAATATTCTTGGGAAAGATTGCACCGTGCTCCCTTAAAATCGTAAAATTTCACGTTGCTTAAGATGCTATGAAATCAAGTGTTCCATCGTGGATCATTTTGGTGTTGCAGTAGGAAAATGTTATGAATTCTCTTCATACATTCTAACGTCTGTTTGTAATGTTTGTAATGTTTGTAATAGAAAGAACATTATAAGATTAATTACTTGAACATGTAAAGGCCAAATGAAGCCAAGATGCAAATCTTCTAAGTGTGTCTTGACACGTAGAAGAATGTAGTGTCTTGTGTTTAACACGTTATTTTGCCACCTTTCAATTAGATTTATGATTCCCTTTTTTTTTGCGGGGGGGAAGGGGGGTGACACGTAGTGGAATTAATCCTTATTCAATAATTCCCTAATTAATTAGGCAATATCCCACTACCCAATAATTAACCAATTATCCACAAAATTAAGAAATATCTCAACTTACTTAAAATACTACTCACTTTTAATATACCTTGTACATCTTACTATCATGGTCATGTAGTACCTTGTATTGCACTAGTCTATAAATACTAGGTATTATGGCTCGTACCGTATTTTATTCTAAATCAATAACCTTCGACGAAACTCATTTTCTTTGATTCGTTTAATCCTTATCCAATAATTCCCTAATTAATTAGGCAATATCCCACTACCCAATAATTAACCAATTATCCACAAAATTAAGAATTATCTCAACTTACTTAAAATACTACTCACTTTTAACATACCTTGTACATCTTACTATCATGGTCATGTAGTACCTTGTATGACACTAGTCCATAAATATTGGGTATTATGGCTCGTACCGTATTTTATTCTAAATCAATAATCTTCGACGAAACTCATTTTCTTTGATTCGTTTACCTTTTATCTTTTACGGCACTTACTTATTGCTTGTTATAAATAGCATAAATGCTTATAATCTCAAGAAAATCTCACCCCCGAGTCTACATCAATTAACTGAAGACGAAACTTTAACGTACGAAAACGCGAGATGTAACATGGACTTTATTTGAATTACTAACATTTATGGAGTATAAACTTATTGGAGCATTCAATAATTATAAGTCCAGACTTGAAATAATATTTTAAAAGATAAAATTATGAAAAAGTTTAAGAATATTTATAACTTATACTATAATAAATACTTTTATGTATTAAATATATTTAAAACTTCTATACATGTAATGTCAGATTGTTTGGTTTCGATTTGACTTATTTTAGTTAAAACCATACCAAATCAATTATTGTCGGGTTTTTTTTTTCAATACCAAACCAATTCAAATCGAACCATAATCCAATTTTTTTTTCTCGATTTGGCTTGAATTATCAGTTTGGTGAGGTTTATCAGTTTCATTTGTACACCCCTAATAAAAGGAAGAGACTATAAAAAGAAATTCAT